TTTGGCATGCACGCGCAGTAGGCGCACCTACACAGCTCACCAGCCTTGATTCAGAGAGCGGAGTTTGTCCACTGCTCATACGTGCGCGAAGCAAACTCTGAACCAGTAGGAAAACTTTTTTGAAACACATCACTGAGTATAAAGATTTATTGCAAATTTAAGCTTTCTACAAGAATCTGACCAACTGACAGTCAAGGGAAAAGAGCAGGAAATAAGAAAGGCATTCAAGGTGGGCTGGACTTAGATTTCCTTTGACTCCAACCTCCGGCTCAGCCTGCTATCTCCCATAGTATCTGCTATCTGTCTGTCTGTCTAACCTATCTATCTATCTATCTATCTATCTATCTATCTATCTATCTATCTATCTATCTATCTATCTATCTATCATCTATCTATCTATCATCTATCTATCTATCTATCTATCTATCTATCTATCTATCTATCTATCTATCATCTATCTATCCCAAAGGAAAATACACTGCTCAAAAAAAATAAAGGGAACACAAAAATAAGACATCCTATTCTTATTAAATACTTTGTTCATTACATAGTTGAATGTGCTGACAACAAAATCACACAAAAATTATCAATGGAAATCAAATTTAGCAACCCATGGAGGTCTGGATTTGGAGTTACACTCAAAATTAAAGTGGGAAAAAAACACTACAGGCTGATCCAACTTTGATGTAATGTCCTTAAAACAAGTCAAAATGAGGCTCAGTAGTGTGTGTGTCCTCCACGTGCCTGTATGACCTCCCTACAACGCCTGGGCATGCTCCTGATGAGGTGGCGGATGGTCTCCTGAGGGATCTCCTCCCACACCTGGACTAAAGCATTCCCCAACTCCTGGACAGTCTGTGGTGCAACGTGGCGTTGGTGGATGGAGCGAGACATGATGTCCCAGATGTGCTCAGTTGGATTCAGGTCTGGGGAACGGGCAGGCCAGTCTATAGCATCAATACCTTCATCTTGCAGGAACTGCTGACACACTCCAGCCACATGAGGTCTAGCATTGTCGTGCATTAGGAGGAACCCAGGGCCAACCACACCAGCATATGGTCTCACAAGGGGCCTGAGGATCTCATCTCGGTGCCTAATGGCAGTCAGGCTACCTCTGATGAGCACATGGAGGGCTGTGGGGCCCCCTAAAGAAATGCCACCCCACACCATTACTGACCCACTGCCAAACTGGTCATGCTGAAGGATGTTGCAGGCAGCAGAACATTCTCCACGGTGTCTCCAGACCCTGTCACGTCTGTCACATGTGCTCAGTGTGAACCTGCTTTCATCTGTGAAGAGCACAGGGTGCCAGGGGCGAATTTGCCAATCTTGGTGTTCTCTGGCAAATGCCAAATGTCCTGCATGGTGTTGGGCTGTAAGTACAACCCCCACCTGAGGACGTCGGGTCCTCATACCACCCTCATGGAGTCTGTTTCTGACCGTTTGAGCAGCCAAATGCACATTTGTGGCCCGCTGGAGGTCATTTTGCAGGGCTCTGGCAGTGCTTCTCCTGTCCCTCCTTGCACAAAGGTGGAGGTAGTGGTCCTGATGCTGGGTTGTTGCCCTCCTACGGCCTCCTCCATGTCTCCTGGTAGTGCCTCCATGCTCTGGACACTTTGCTGACAGACACAGCAAACCTTCTTGCCACAGCTCACATTGATGTGCCATCCTGGATGAGCTGCACTACCTGAGTCACTTGTGTGGGTTGTAGACTCCGTGTCAAGCTACCACTAGAGTGAAAGCACCGCCAGGATTCAAAAGTGAACAAACCACCAGCCAGAAAGCATGGGAACTGAGAAATGGTCTGTGGTCACCACCTGCAGAACCACTCTTTTATTGGGGATGTCTTGCTAACCGCCTCTGCTTTCCACCTGTTGTCTATTTCATTTGCACAACAGCATGTGAAATTGATTGTCAGTCAGTGTTGCTACCTAAGTGGACAGTTTGATTTCACAGAAGTGTGATTGACTTGGAGTTACATTGCGTTGTTTAAGTGTTCCCTTTATTTTTTTGAGCAGTGTATATTACTACATCTATATATATATATATAGGGAAACAAAAATTGCAGCAATCCATGTCAGTTTATTTTCAAGCTTCTTCTTAAAATTCAGAGAGCTATGGTGTGAATTATCAATGGTGTCACCTCTCTTATTTACCTGGAGATCTTGGCCCTTGTTGGGATATCTGAAAATCCATACTGTACTATTTTATCCATACTGTACTACTATCCTCCCACTTAATTGGTTTCTAAGTCAATGTTGCTTTGTTGAAACTCTGAATTAAATTGGCCCACCAGTCGCAACACTTGGAGAGGCCAGAGGTGATTATTTCTTAGGGTCATGTGGATCTACGGGTAGCTCATTTGTGCACAAAATGGATTGCAAACCACCATGGTTGCAATTAGATGTGCACTGATATCAGTCACTTGTTCATGTAAATGAGCACTGGAGGAAGAAACGAGAAAAGGCATAAAATCATGGCCTCCTTCTTTCAGCACTCTGGATCTCTGCAACCATCTAACCTATCTGGTTTAGATAAAGTGAGAAGATCTTGTATTTCTCAGACCTGGCCTGACTATTGTCAGCTAACCTTGGGATGGTTTGAAGAGTCAACCAGTGATGCATCCCTAATGCAGAAGGCTTTGTGTTGTCATGTTGATGTCTGGCTGATGCTATAAATCACTGGTATGGATATCTTCTGTGCAACCTGAAAATGACCTGCTGTCCCCTTAGCCAGAGGAGAGTCCAATTAATCTCTCTTTTCTGGAGAAGAAACAGACTAGCACACTGGGCATCGCACACATCAAATAATGAAATGGATACTCTCACATTTGCCCTTGACCTCAGTCTATCTATGGCCATGTGTCTTGTTTCTGCTTCTTAGTACCTGTTTGCCTGACCCTGTACACCCGTGGTGGGAATTCCCATGTCACCTTGTTACATGGTTAGATGACTACGCCACCTTGTTACACAGCTATGGCATTAATTCTACCCCATCTGCATTCCACACCAGCCTGTTGTAAATTGAAGCCAGATTGGAAGATAAGTGGGAGATTAATGCATTCTTGATTTACTAGTTTTCATTCCAATAGCATAACTCCCAATGTTAAGAAACATCTAAGGGAAGGATACATACAAATGCCAGCATGGCTGAGTCATAAACAGATCATAAAAGTTATAAACACTATAACTCTGAGGCATTAAATAGCATTACTGAAAAGATTTATTTAATCTTGAATCTAAGGTTGGATCTTTCAACTCTCCTACAAACCCCACATTACTAATTGAACTAGAAGGTTTTTTCCTCTTTTCAAACTGGCATCCCAGCAACATTTTCTTCAACAACAAGCAATATAATAAAAACTCATGAAAACAGGCAACATTTCTTATGTGCTTACTGAGGAAAGAGCAATGCTAGTAGCCATTTTTCATCCTCATATTAAAGAGTTTCCCTCCTACCCTCTCTCAACTGCTGTTATGATTTCATTGATGGGTCTATTTCAGATTGAATTAATCAATCCATTAACTATTGATAGAAACTTTTCCAAAGAAAAGCAAAACTAATACTGCAGCCCCAACAATCTTCTCATTTGTACGCTCGTTTCATTTATTATAATTTCCCTACACTGTGAGTCTCAATAGCTTTTATTGCCACTATAGAAATAACATTCATTGTAATTTAATTCAGAAAATTTCAGATCAAGGAAAAAAAAAAGAAGAAGAAGAAGGGGGAGAACAAGGAAAAACTCGTATAGAAGTGGATTGTTAAAAATACACCAGAAAGTAAATGGCGAATTTAAAATTATGTTATGCTGCATTTCCTTTTAAGTACCAGATCCTTCCTCTACCCCATCCCAAAATGATGCAAGATTCCAACAAAAGCTTCTTTTGTTCTAGAAAAAAAATAAAAATAAAGCACAGGCAAAAACATTGCAATTTTGTTCCTGAGAACAACAATCTCAGGTTTGAAATGAGATGTTCTGATTATGATTATATATATATTTTTCACCCTTCTACAACACAGCTGCAAAAGGAGAAAAGAAAACTGGACGCTTGTCATTCTTTTTTTAAATAATTCAGCATTCATGGAATCTGGCATGATTAATACCATTTTGTGAAAAAGGGTATGAATGCTCTGGCCATTGTCACTGAGGTGTGCAATCTTTGTAATTGGTTGTCCCAAAGGCAACTGAACAGGGAGCAAGCACACTAAGGCTTTATTCTGTAATTCTGGGTTCCATTAGAAACCCTGAATCCATTTAGCTCAGCCCTTATCACATGCACTTCAATCAGTTTTGCAGATAACTGTATCTTATGGATTGGGGAAGCATATACACAGTCTTTGCAAAGACAATAATTTTTGAAGGACAATTATTTTCTTCTAGCTAATGCTGGGCATCTTTTATGTAATGATGATTAAGAGAATTATAATAGCAAAAAAACTGGTACGTGGCTATTTTTTTTGAAAGAAAAGAAAACTTCTCTTCAGTTTTGTTTTGTTTTGTTTTTAAAACAAGATTATATATTGATTTGTTTTTCTAGCTTTAGGAGATTGTGGAAGCAATGCTGTTTTAATCCTTTTAACTGGTTTTCCCGCACCCTCCCATTGTCTTGATGTTGTCAATTAAAATATGATCAGCTTAATGCAATCGTAAATGAAGCACACCCCAACCCAGTGAAAGTTGTGTGCAGATGTTTAGGTATGCATCACTAAAATATTAGTAGTTGTAGTAGTGGTACTGGTTTAATTTAGATTCTAACTTTCTGTCCAGTAAGTCCAAACTGGAGTGGAAAGGGTTTAAAATCTAACCTTATATTTGTCGATCCAGACATCAATGGGGCTTAGTAAATCCTCCTCATTGGGAAGAAGCCATCATATCAATTGCAATTCTTGGTCAACAGTCCTTCCCCCTTTTCTTCCAACTGACCTCTTGCCAAGTCTACTGGACATGGGCTCCCTACTGCAAATTGGAGTGTTGTGAGTGTTGTGTTTGCCCCTACCATTTTCCATATGCTCTGCCTCACCAACACTGCCATCCGGCGTTGTCCTTTCGTAGTTGTCCTCTGGGAGTGGAAGGGCACCCAGCCTTGGGCCTGAAGAACTCTTACTGCTTGGTGTTTCAGATTCCTCCAGACCGCTGTCATAGCAACTCTGCAAAGACCCTTGATGTGGGTCTTGAGGCTGACTCACAACTGAAAACGTCACTCTACGGAACGGCTGCAAAAGAAAAGATTCTGGATGTCACTTGAAAAGTAAGGTCTTGGAGAATGCTACTCTTAATCATTTCTATTATTTATTTTGCTTATTTATTTTTTTAAAAAAATATATGCATCTTGTCAAACACAGTTGAGCCCCCACTGTAGAAACTCACAACAGCTATGAACTGTGATTAGTAGAATGTCAACAGTGTACTTATACCTCCATTGGATTATTTATTTAGCGTATGGCAAATGCATGGATTTAGAGTAGTTCAAATGTTAATGTCCAGCCCACCCAGTCATTCAAGGACAGGATGGTCTCAGTCAGTGGCTGCCAACCAGTGGGCTGGGGACCACTGGTGGTCCGTGAGAAAATTTTGGTGGTCTGCAGAGAAATGTCACCCCCTCCCCCCAAGCACCCCCCAAAGCAATTAATCCAGGCTGCGCAGGAACATAAGGCTGTGTTACTCACATGGCCCGCGGGAACACAAGGCTTGCATTGCTTGCATTGAGAACAACATGATGTAGTGAGGGGAGGGGAGAAAAGGCATGGGGGGGGGAACTTGCCCCACTCACCCCACACGCCTGGCCTGGCCACCGGGCTGCTTCTTTCCACTTCTTTCTTCTTCTGCTTTTGGCTGCACACAAGGAAAGCAGCAAAAGTCTTTCTTTCTCTCCCCCAAACTCTGCCAAAAATGAGTATTTGGGACCCTGCAAGGCCTCCTGATCCAAGAGGCTGCACCAACACAACAAATCTCACAAAAACTCATTGCTGGTGGAGTTTGGGGGAGAGAAAGAAAGACTTCTGCTGTTTCTGCTGCTTTCTTTGCATGAAGCCAAAAGTCTCTCCCTCTCCTTCTCTCCCTCTCTCCCTCCTTCCCCCTCTCTCTCTGAGAATGGAGTTAGAGACGTTATCCTGCAATCCCAAATAAAGAATGATCGATTGGTAGGAAAACAGGGTGGGGAATTTTCCTGCAGACATTTTTTGGGATTTTCCCAGGGTCTCTAGTCTGCGGGATTTAAAATTATGATTTTAGTGGTCCCTGAGGTCCAAAAGGTTGGCGACCCCTGGTCTACATTGAAAAAAAACAAAAACAGACATTGGGCTGGTGTAAGCTCTGAGTGGACATTCAGACACAAGGTGATGGATATTTTTTGACAAAATTTTGTTGAATTTTATCAAAATTCTTCCATCGGAATGTTGAGTTCGTTGCAGAGCAGTTTTGCACATTTTTACAGATTCACAGATTTGCAAAGGCTGTGTGTGTGTTGAAGGTTGGATATTAGATAGCTCATGAGCAACTGAATCCATCCATTTTTCTCAAAATGCCTGGGGACATTTAAAATAACTTTCAAGGAGCCTTCTTGGAAATGTTGAAAGGGCTGTGTTATAGACTGGAGATAGATGACACTCTTTAGAAGACAGCAAAGTCCACATTTTGGACAGAAAGGACTGCTGGTTTGAAAGAGGGGTTAAAGAGGCCATCTATGTCCAACTGAACTGCCTTCTTTCATCAGAGGGGGAGGAATACAACATCATCTATCTACAGTCTACAACACATTCTTTTCAACAGTTCCAAGAAGGCTCCACAGCCATTTGCACCACTCAGGTGATCCTGAAGACACAGATAAACCTCCAGGTGGCCTTGACACCTGGGCTAAAAGAATGCAAATGACCAGCTGTCTGCAAGGATTATAAATCCTTCCATTCCCCAGAGCTGTGAAGAAGCTTCTTGGATCAGAAGCAAAACATCTTCAAAGAAAAACCAGAAAGTCCAGTTGCCTCTTGAAAAAACACCTTTGGGACACTGTTAGGAAATTTCTCCTTAATTTATTGTTTAATTTATTTATTGTTTAATTTATTATTGTTGTTGTTGGGTTTTTACTTGATGTTAGCTACCCAGTGTTATGATGATGAAATGGGTATAAAATGATTATCACGTTCTCATTAAGACACATACAGAACTCAGTGACACAACTTTAAAATAATAATGGGATTGAATTATTTGGGCCAATATAAAAATACTGTAGGCCTCAAGTCACAACCACAAAGGGGACTGGAATTGTATTTGCTAAATTATGTGCTCATTGAGTGAACCAGTTTGGTATTAAGTGCATCACACTCAATTGTCAAGTGAATCCAATTTACCCCACTGGTATTGTTTGTCTAAAGCCAGCCCGGAAGTTTCTTTAGATTAGATTAGAATTCTTTATTGGCCAAGTGTGGTTGGACACACAAGGAATTTGTCTTGGTGAAAATACTCTCAGTGTACATAAAAGGAAAGATACATTCGTCAAAAGTCAAGAATCCTAAGGTACAACACTTAATAATAGTCATAGGGTACAATAAGCAAGCAAATCATACAAGGAAACAGTCAATATTAATCGTAAGGATACAAGCGACAAAATTACAGTCATACAGTCACAAGTGGGAGGGTATGGGTGATAAGGAGTGATGAGAAGATTAATAGTAATAGTAGTGCAGACTTTGTAAATAGTTGGACAGTGTTGAGGGAATTATTTGTTTAGCAGAGTGATGGCATTTAGGAAAAAACTGTCCTTGTGTCTAGTTGTTCTGATGTGCAATGCTCTAGTGTTTTGAGGGAAGGAGTTGAAACAGTTTATGTCCAGGGTGTGAGGGGTCTGTAAATATTTTCACAGCCCTCTTTTTGACTCATGCAGTATGCAGGTCCTCGGTTGAAGGCATTTATTTATTTATTTATTTATTTATTATTTTATTCATTAAATTTATTTGCTGCCTATCTCTCTGTGAGCTACTCTCAGTGGCTTACAAGAGTAAAAATGGAGAAATGAAAAGAAGTATAAACATAACAGCAGCAAAATAGTGAAACAATAAAATAAACGATGAAAATACAGTAATATGAGAATAAAGGAAGGGTGGAGGGAAGCAGGGAATATGGGGGCAGGGAGGCAGAGTTTACTATCAATCTAATACAGGTAGTCCTCGACTTACAACAGTTTGTTTAGTGACTGTTCAAAATTACAACGGCAATGGAAAAAAATTACTTATGACCTGTTTTTTACACTTACGACCATTGCAGCTTCCCCATGGCCATACGATCAAAGTTCATATTTATGATGGTCGCAGTGTCCTGAGGTCATGTGGTCTCCTTTTGCAACTTTCCAACAAACAAAGTCAACAGGGAAGCCAGATTCACTTAATAACTGTGTTACTAATTTAACAACTGCAGTGATTCACTGAACGACAGTGGCAAGAAAGATTGTAAAATGGGGCAAAACCCAGTGAACAAATGTACTGCTTAGCAACAGAAATGTTGGCCACAATTATGGCTGTAAGTTGAGGACTACCTGTAGCTCCCTCCAGAGTTGAACTCCCCCATTGTGTCTCCAGGCCAACCACTAGAGTCAGGTCTTCAAGCTCTCATGGAAGGATAGGAATAGAATAGGATAGGGTAGGGTAGGGTAGGGTAGGGTAGGGTAGGGTAGAGTAGAATAGAATAGAATAGAATAGAGTAGAGTAGGGTAGAGTAGAGTAGAGTAGAGTAGAGTAGAGTAGAGTAGAGTAGAGTAGAGTAGAATAGAGTAGAATAGAATAGAATAGAATAGAATAGAATAGAATAGAATAGAATAGAATAGAATAGAGCATTGGATGGAACCTTGGAGGTCTTCTAGTCCAACCCCCTATATCATTTCAGACAAATGGTTATCTAATCTCCTCTTAAAAACTTCCAGTGTTGGAATATTCACAACTTCTGGGGGCAAGTTGTTCCACTGACTAATTGTTCTGTCCTTAGTTCTAATTTCTCCTTAGTTCTAAGTTGCTTCTCTCCTTGATTAGTTTCCATCCATTGCTTCTTGTCCTACCCTCAGGTACTTTGGAGAATAGCTGGACTCCCTCTTTTTTGTGGCAGCCCTTCAGATATTGAAACACTGCTATCATGTCACCCCCCCAGTCCTTCTTGGGGTGACATGATACCCAAACTAGGCATACCCAGTTCCAGCAACCAATCTTTATATGTTTTAGCCTCCAGTCCCCGAATCATCTTTATTCTTTTTCTCTGCACTCTTTCTAGAATCTCAACATACTTTTTAGATCATGGCCACCAAAACTGTCAGAAGAAGGGTGTGTTAGATCTCACCCTGGGATGGATGTAGGATATTCCAGAGGATGAGTGCTATGTTGCAAATCTTGATTACGTGACTGTAGGATGCTGCAACATTTATACATGTAAGCCACTTGCCAAGTGTGCAAATCACGAACACATGTACTTTACAAGTGGTGCAACAGTATAACTTTGAGGGCGGGTTGTAAGTCACTTTTTTTTCAACACAAATGGTTATTAAGCGAATGGCCGTAAATCAAGGATTACCTGTAGCTGTCCACCATGTTTTCCAAGTCCTTGGAAATGAAAGGAATAGCACGAGCCAGTCATTCCATTCATTCTGTCCAGTTTTCTATGAACATAACTCAAGGATTGAGAAGGTGTGGATATGATTGGATTCTAATTCCACCCCACCATTCATGAGTTATACTCATGGATGCCAGAAGCTGTAATGCAATCACAACAGAATTTCTACTCCTGCCCTAAAGAGCAAATGCTTCTTGGTGTTTTGTTAGCAATTGGTGGTTTGTTGGACAGGAGCAATGGGTGGAAACTAATCAAGGAGAGAAGCAACTTAGAACTAAGGAGAAATTTCCTGCCAATGAGGACAATTAATCAGTGGAACAACTTGCCTCCAGAAGTTGTAAATGCTCCAACACTGGAAGTTTTTAAAAAGAGGTTGGGCAACTATTTGTCTGAAATGGTATAGGATTTCCTGCCTGAACATAAACAGTTGGATGAGAAGACCTCCAAGGTTTCTGTTATTGTTTCATTGGTGTGATATCTGAAGTGTCCTAAGAATTGTTTCATGGGTTTAAAGAACTTTATCATCTAAGCAGCAATGGAAATCCTTCAGAACAAATCATCTCTTTTCAAATACATCACATATGTTATGCTGTCCCACCCAGACATTACAACTTCATGTCTTCCCATC